ATGTTATTCAATGGCCATTGTTTTTCAATTATCTCTCAGAACATTATTGGCATCTGCTGTACTTGTTAAAAAACAAATGCTTTTAAAGAAATAAAAAAAATCACATATTGATCTGAGTTCAAAGGAAAAAAATAAAACTTATTTCTAAATTTACAATTTTCACCTATAAACCTCTTAATTTCACAAAAGAGTGGGTTCTTTTTCAAACAAATACATCCTGCCTAATATATGTGTTTAGATTAGATCTTTTGCTTTAACTTTGGTTAAACTGAGATCATTTAGATACTATTTCTGTATAAACTATTTTTTTTTTCATATTACTGTAAACCTAATGGGTTTTGATAAATTTACTCTGCACTACGGAATTTCCAATAAAAAAAAGAAAAGTAATTAAAAAGACCATAGATTAAAAATAAGTAAGGCATAACATATTTTTATTTTTATTTTTTATTTTATAATGAAATTTAGTAAATCAAATTATTATTTGTGGCTTTTATTTATTAAATCAATTAAGAACATAATCTAAAAACAAAATTTAATGACAAGAAAGATCGACGTTTCGGGTCCATCATGGAACCATTCTCAAGATCAAGTACATTAAATTGAAAAAAACTAAAAATCAAAAATGCCAAGCAGTGACAGGAAGTAAGTAATTAATTTACATATCAATAGGGCCTACTGTGTGGAGCCACAATGGAGCTAAGCAAAAATTAGCCCTTCTTAGCAGATTAACTAGATAAACAGTTTGGCTTTGACTGAATCAGTTTGTTTGTTAAGTGTAGGTTTCAGTTCTTTGATCCAAAGCATTTCTTTAAATAAACAATTTAACTTGGATTTGCACTTAAATAAAACCTTGAAATAATTAACAGTTTCAGTAGCACTAATATAATGATCTTTTAAATGTTGTCCTATGTTACCTTTACTGTGCATAATCATTTCTTATTTAAAATAGAATTATTTAATCAATCAGTAACTTGTGTTTTTTTAAATGAAATTAATAATTTTCATTAAAAAAGATGCTACCCAGGCGAGACTTTTATTATACCTTGTTTGACAAACTCGCTGACTATTGTACATTTTACTGTACTGTTTTTCCGTTTTAAAATGTTTGTGCTCGTTAGCAATTTAGATTTGTTAT